GTTATAGCCAAACCCCATCCCACAGGCCATTCCCTAGCCAGGGTCTCTCTGTTATGGCCATGCCCTGAAGCCCACAGGCCATTCCCGAGCCGCGGCTCTCCTCTCCCCGCAGGCGCAGGCCGCGGGCTCGGCGCAGCCCTCGCCCACGCACGGCCGCCCCGCCGTGCCCGCGCGCTCGGCCTCGGCCGGCTCCACGCCCACGCACGGTGCCCCCGACGCGCCCGCCGGACCCGGGGCCGACGCGCTCGAGCCCTTCGGACAAGGTGACCCGGCGAGGGCGGGCGGGCAGAGAGGGCGTGGGGTGGGAATTGTGCCCTGGGAAGGTGGGCAGCCCTGGCACAGGGTGCCCACCCTGGATCCCTGGCAGTGCCCAAGGCCAGGCTGGACACTGGGGCACCCTGGGACAGTGGAGGTGTCCCTGTCGTGTCAGGGGTGGCACTGGGTGGCTCTGGGGACCCTTCCCACCCAAACCAGTTGGGATCCTGTGGCCCCAACCCCACTGGCTGGGCTGGTTCTGGGCTGGGCTTGTGATTCCCACAGAGAAATCCTGTGGGTGCAGATCTGGGGGTGAAAGGGGAAAACGGAGCTTGGGGAGATCCTGGAGCCACCTCCAGGGCCAAAGGGGCTCCAGGAGAGCTGCAGAGGGACTGGGGACAAGGATGGAGGGACAGGAGCCAGGGAATGGCTCCCAGTGCCAGAGGGCAGGGCTGGCTGGGAGATTGGGAATTGGGAATTGTTCCCTGGCAGGAGCCAGGGAATGGCTCCCAGTGCCAGAGGGCAGGGCTGGGTGGGACATTGGGAATTGGGAATTGTTCCCTGGAAGGGTGGGCAGGCCCTGACACAGGGTGCCCACCCTGGGTCCCTGGCAGTGCCCAAGGCCAGGCTGGGCACTGGGACACCCTGGGACAGTGGAGGTGTCCTGGGAGGTTCTGGAACCGGGGGATCTTTAAGGTCCTTCCCACCCAAACCATTCCCTGGTCCCAGGTACAACACACACGGAACTCACCATGCCAAGGCAGACATCACAAACCCCTTTCCTGTGCCCTGGACCAAAGCTGGGGTCACATTTTGAATCTTTTGAGCTGAATGAAGTTAATTTCTGTGAGGATGATGTTCTCGGAAGGAATTTACACCACCAATGGCTCCTTGCTGCCTCTCCCTAAGGACTGCCCTTCCTCAGGGCCTGCTGAGATCCCTCTCTGTGAAACCTTGTGGTTTTCCCAGGTTTTAACACCTGGCAGCATCCCAGACTTTTGTTGCAAGGAGCCAGGGGTCGGTGGGGACCAAAGCAAACCCACAGGCACCCCTCAGCACACCGATTCTTCTTCTCCAGAAACATCTCAAAGATCCTTCTGCCTTTTGCATATCCACCAGACACTGAAAAATGAGATGGTTCCACCTCTCGCTGGGGAGAGGGCACAGGGACACCAAGGGCTCCATTTTCCTCCCTCCACGAGCTGCCCCATTCGTGGGGGGAGTTCTGGAGCAGGAAATCTTTGAAGAACTGAATTCCAGAGATCTGGTTTTACCATCTTGAGATTAGAGGTTTCCTCCTTAGGTGATTTCCTGATCTCTCACTCAGTAGGGGATTACCACGACTGGCACTGGGACGGTGGCAGGTTTAGAATAAAACACCCTGATGGTTTCTGGGTGGAATGCTCACATACAGAGGCCACCGTGTAATTAGAAAATCCGTTCTGCTGTTGGCCACCTTGGAAGAGAAGAAAGGAGTCCCTGGGGAATCCTGGGGTCCAGCACTGCCCACAGCAAGGGGCAGTTCCCCCCGAGACAGCCACGGCGGGGCTGCTTCTCTTGCGGGAGGCAAACCTGCTGAGCAGACCCTGCAGCCGTTCCTGGAAGGATCCTTCCGGAAGGGCAGTCTGCACAATTAGTGCTATTTAGTGTATTTGATATTAATCACACAAGTCAGGCAAAGCCGGGGCCAGTGGCGAGCGCAGGAAACAGAATGAAAGGTCGATTTTTTCACTTAATGAAATAACTGGGTGTCCCAGCCAGGAGATGTCTGGGTGGGCCTGGTGACATGATCCAGCTGCTCCACAGTGGGGACACTACCCCAGGCTGCTCCAGCCCGGCCTTGAGCCCTCCCAGGGACGGGCACATCCCTGATCCGAGGGCTGGTGGCCTTCGGGAGCATCGTCCTCCACGCAGCCCTGTGCCTCTCGTGTGCCCGGGCTCCTGGTGGCCACTGGTGCTGCTGTCCAGCAGGGCTGGAGTGGCCAGGGAGTGGCCAGGCAGCTCGGGGTCACCGGGGCCAGCACAGAGCCCTGAGGAAGAGGATTCCTTCCTCCAGCCATGCGGGAGGGGAATTCCAACAGCCTGGGGTCCCACCTGGAGCTCAGCAGCACCGAGGGTGGCTGTGCCCACGGGGGGAGCGGGCAGGGGGTGTCACTGCCACTGTCACTGTCACTGCCACTGTCACTGCCACTGCCACTGCCACTGCCACAGGGGGAGCAGGGCACGGGGCAGAGCTCCAGGGTGAGTCCCCATCCCCATGGCCCTGCCTGGGGAGCCAGCCCAGGTGGGGACACTGAGGCTGGGGGGACAGGGGCCGCAGGGCAGTGGCACTGCAGCCCCTCCTGACCCGAGCCTGCCCCTGCCAGGTACGAGGAGGAACCTCCGCAACGACCTGCTGGTGGCAGCTGACTCCATCACCAACACCATGTCCTCGCTGGTGAAGGAGCTGCACTCAGGTGAGGGCTGAGCCAGGCGTGCCAGGAGCAGAGCTGGAAGCCACGGGCTGAAGCTTTGTCCTTAGATCTGTCTTCTGTTAAAACTGCTATTCTATTAACCGTTATTTCTCCTAAAACTAGGTTTGTTTTCTGTTGTTGTCTGCAATGTGAGGCCGTGTGTGCACGTTCTCAATGAAAAATCACTTTCATAGCCACCATCGCTGGCCTGGGCAGTGCTGGGTGATGATCTTAATGACACAGCCACAAGCCCGAGCAGGTTTTTGGAGTGAGCATCCCCAAATTCCTGCTTAGCCCTGCAGCGCCTGGGCAGCAGGTGAGCCCTCTGCCGTGACTCCCCATCAGATGATGCAATCATGTCTCAATAACTGTGCAGGAGCCCAATTCCATCCCTTGTCGTTAAACAACGGTGTGGAAAACAGATAATTACTCCTCTGTGCCTCTTCCCCGTGCCAGGGGAGCTGAACGCCCCTCTGGGGCCGGGGCAGGTCCCAGGGAAGTGTCCCCTGGCCCTGCAGCCTCGGCAGCAGCAGGGCTGGGAGCACGGCTGCTCCAGCAGCCCACTTCCAGCAGAGATTTCTCCATGGACACGCTGCCAGGCTCTGAGAGGGGCTCTCAGTCCCCATCCCTGGAGGAGTCTAAGGAAGGAGGAGCTCAGTGCCCGGGGCTGGTGACAAATGGGAGCAGTCCCAGGCTGGACTCTGGCTGCCCTTTGCGAGGTGGAGGGTCCTGTGGTTCGGTTTCTGGGCTGTCTCTGCTGCTGAGGAAGGGAAGTGTCCTGTGTCTGCTCCTGCTCCCTGCTGGGCCCAAATTCCCACAAATGTCTCTCCCTCGAGGCTCTGTCACCCTGGCGCCTCCTGGGATGGATGGGGCTGTTTCTGTGGCCAGCACTAAATGCCCTGCCAGCCCCGTGTGCCGGCAGCAGCGGCAGCTGGGAGTTAATAAAGTTGTCTGTGGGTGACCCAGCACCAGCAGGGCCCTGGCAGGGCCACCAGCTCCCCCATAAATCACCTCAGCTCTGCCCCAAGGCTCAAACGTGGAGAACAAACCTCTGCCCAGAGGTTTTGCTTTCCAGGGCACAGCAAGTGTTGTCGAAGCACAGACTTGTGCAATAACCCGAGTCAGACCCACAGGGCCCGTGGAGCGCAGCTCCTGGCCCTGCCCAGGCCACCCCAACAATGCCAGCCTGTGCCTGAGGGCGTTGTCCAAAGCTTTCCTGGTCTCCATCCCAACCCCCGACACAGCTCCAGCGTCCCCGGGGTCCATCCCCGGCCTCCAGCCGTGCCAGGGGCTTCCAAAGCCGTGGGGTCCCCAGGGAGCGGGAGGGACACGGAACCGAGCTGCAGAGACCAGGGCAGGCTCCCCAGAAGTGTCTGCAGCCGTGTGCTTGTGGAGATGAGGAGGAGCATGAGTGATCCTCAGCTGATGGCAGCCAGAGCATCTCACACCTCGTGTCCCAGGGGGAGCGGCGGGAGCAGGCGGCTCCTGCAGCGTGGGAGGGGGG